ACGAATATGTGAATAGGGAAATATTTGCGCTTAGGGAAATTCAGAGATAATTGGCACATTTTGACTTGCCACATAAATGATTTATAGTTTTTGGCGTTGAGCGTGCGCAGTGTAGCCCTTTTTTCGGTTAGCTATATTTCTTATCGCTGTCAACGCTGAAAATCAATGCGCAAATATAATACATACAAAATTTGTTTGCCCAAAAATTGACATGCAACATACAATGCAAGCAATTAATTATTTGGAACAGGTCAGGGAATAGTTCCTGGAATCAGTTTGGAGTTGTAGGTGCGAAGTTGACATGTTTTTTGAAATTATCTTCGGTTAAAATTGAACAGCGAATATTATCAGAATCTTTATTTCTACTTGGAGGTACAATTTTGGGGGAAAAAAAATTTAAACACATTATCTGCCCAGATCTCAGCTCCGTATAATAGGACGCTAGTTGTCGTCGGCATTAGAAGCTTTCTCTTTCGTTGGCTAGGCCTCCCTGTATTGGCCATTAACTTGGGAGATTATTTTTGCTGTCTTTTCTGCGGCGTGCTGAATTTGTAACCAGAAGGATAGTCTGGGGTCCAGTCTCTCACCTTAGTTGACTGCTTTTTGTATTCTAAGAATATCTATAGTCGTTTGCATACTTATTTCGAGCGGTATGTGCTTATTCGTTAGCAGTAGTAGCTCTGTTTTTTCCGTAACGAGCTGGAGGTTGTGTGAGCCGAGCCATGCTTGCGTCCTGATTAAGCTTTCTTCTGTTTCTCGTGCTGTAATTACCTTTGCAATGTCGTCCGCCTAACCAATTAAGTACGATTCGTCTGGCTTTTTTAGTTTTAGTATAGTGTCGTAGGTGATGTTCCACAAGTTTGGGCCTAGAACGGACACTTGTGCTGCTCCTGAAGTGACCGCTATTTGTCGTGATCCCTTTCTTGGTTTGGTACAGCAGTTTTCTGTTACCGAGGTAGCTTTGTACCATAGCTCTGAAGTAGTCAATAACTCTTTTTATGCATGGGGAAGAGTGTGTTTACGATGTGATCCATTTTGGCAGCAGCCAAGTCAAGTGGCTCGAACACCATTACTATTTTATATTCAAATCCCCCGGGTTTTTTTAACATCCTCGCGTAGTTCCTGCAATTTTTCTTTTTGCTATCATCGATGGCATGCTTCAGCTCCTTTCCTGCTGCTTTGTATTGCTCAACTTCTTGGGATGCTCCTCTGCGTCTGGATCTCGTGTAGAAGACGGAGACATGTGCGTTTGAAGTGGGCGATATTTTCTATCTACTAGTAAAAAGTAGAAAGCCTTGTGCATTGATTTTTGGGCTCTTGTTATATTAAGCATTGCTCGACAATTTTCCTTGCAATTATACATACAGATACTTTATTCAGAATATAAATATTTTCTATATAAAGTATTATGTTATACCCAAAATATATATACCATACATGTACATCCCTATATTTTTAAAAAAGTCAAAACACGAATTTCGAAAAATCGTTTAGTTAAAAAAAAATTATATAAAAATGTCAATCACTTAAATATATTAAAATATAATCTCCATCATTTTCATATGTGTACCATCTTGTTTATATTCTGTTCGTCCTTAACATAAAAAGATACCATAAAGTGTAATTGCTTAACATTAACATAATTCTGTAACTACATTTACCCATTTTTACGTTTTTACCCAAACATTTTTTTTTTTTTGTTTCTCCCTCCTTTTACAGTGGAATAAGTGCTTTAGCTTACGTGGCAAACTTCTACAGAAAAAAATAATAAAAGAAATCTGAGCAATTATGCAACTTCGAAAAAAATATATAAAATTATTCCAAAACTGAATATCATTTACAAAAAAATAAATAATNCGCATACCATAAATAAAAGAGTAATGAAGAGACTATTGTTATAATCTACAAATTTATATATTTAACAGTACATTACTAAATAAAATATAATTATATACAAAAGCAAAAACATATATACTATACATATAAATAAATTTTAAAATTTAGATTAAAAGACGCATTAGCTATAAATGAAATTACTGATAATTAATTTTATAAAGCAAACTTAAGTAAAGAAGTATAGCAGTGCCGTGCGCCACCTAGCGCATGCGCACAGCCATAAACACATACATACATATAATCAAATACATATGCAATGCCTACTTGTATGCTTGATTATGAGAATTTAAATAGCAGCGTTGCATTTTGCAAAAGCTAGGCAGAATTGAGTGCAGCTTATTAGTGCTAGTGAAGAGTATTTGAAACGAGAGCGTTTTTATGATAATAATTTCAGAAACTAATACATAATATAACAAAATTATAACAGCTACAAGCAGAAATATTTTGCGCAAATCACTTTATTTAAACGTTTAGCACGAAAAAGATTTCTTTATTAGCATTAAACTTGCCTAGAAATTTGTACGCAAATGTTTGTGTATTTTCTGTAAATTGGTTTGTTAAGAATTTGTGAAATGTTTTTTAAATTTCTTTAAGTGTAACTTATCTCCAGATTGTTCTATTCAGAAAATTCCGTCCGCATGTTAGTAAATGTTAGTAAGCACAAATATAGAGAATTTCAATACACACAATGTTTCGTAAAATATTTTTTCTAAATCATTAAGTTTTTGTTTATAGTTATTTTCCGAGTTGCTTAATTTGCAGGTTGCTTTGGTATATTTTGATTGCTTTTACTCATTTTTGTTAATTAAGTTTATATTTAATTATATATTTTTATTGATAACTAATTTTTTTTTATGTATAATATTTATAATATATTTTTTAAGTTCACTGCGTTCTGCACCAAATTTCCCTCACTTACGTAAATAGTAAATGTTTTCCTATTTCCGGTTTTTAACTATACCGTGCAATAGAAGGTTTCAAGAAAGTTTTCAGAACTCTTATGGTATCTGAGAAATTTTCACTAAGACATTTTTAATTTTAGTGAGCGTTTACGAACGGAAATTTAAAAAATATAACGACATTTAAAATTAATTTTTGTTTTATAATATAAAATTTAAAAAACAAATCAATAAACTTAAAACAATACTAAACCCAAAAGACTTACAACAACTGCGAACAGCTAAAAATATATTGAAAAACCGCGCTGCTTATGCTGGCCAACGCTAATGCTTCCGTTTTCGTTTCCATTTCTACAAATATTTTTATTCCGCTTATTTAAATAGTAAAATTTTAGAACATGCGCACAACAGTAACTAACAATTTAACACGAAAGCTTAGAAACGTAGCTAAAATTTTGTTTACACCGTAACAAACAAACAAAAATACTCGTTAAATCGGCCGTCAGTGGGTTAAACACCAAAGTAGTAAGTACACAAATTGAATCAATTAGCTTGTTGTTATTGGTGTTTTTTATTGCTGTTGCTTGCTTAACTATCACGTATAGTATATATATACATATATGCAACAGTAAGCATATAGTATATATACATATACACTATATACACATATATGTATACATACCTACAAATGTACTTACTGAGTTTTGCAGCACACACTGCTACTAACAATCAGTCATCGCTTTCAAAACTAATCACCGTAATTCACCACATCAAAGCACCAAATTGTAGCCGCAATTAATCATGAATTCATCTAGTGTTTCTGGCATATGATTTACATAGAGTTTTATTGCTGAGGGAAGACGGCATTCGCTGTTGTAGTGTTAAAGTTTCATGCATGTATCTTTGATATGTAAATTCGTACTTATTGCAGATGGGAAGCCAATGATTATATTGTTAGTTTGTTGTAGAAAGTTTTAAAAAATAATTACTGAAGGTTTCAAAAACTTTGCACGAGAAATTTAATATTAATCTAGATAATTTTTAGTACTACTTTTTTTGACTTTTTCGTGATCGTGGGTATCCAAGCGGTGCCTTCCTAAATGAATCTTCTGATCCAACCTTTATTTCTAAGGTCAATAGCTCTAACGTTAAAATTTTCAGTTTTTCGACTATCAAAATCAACCTACTAAAAATAAATATTGTAGTCATAACTGGTAAGGTATGTGTGTCGTAAGAGGCCACTAAAATCCAAACACATGTGTATCTTGACGGCTAAATGGTGATATCGCCAATGTTGCCATTTCTAGCGTCGTCTAATGCCTGGCACATACATACATTTATATGAGGTGAGGCTGAGCTCCAAAGATACTATTTCACTTGGACAAAAACAGTATTATAAGAGAGACTCTGTTATTCATATATTTCATTATAGTGCAAAAAACCTTACAGGAAAATAAATCAATCTAATCTGCAGGGCATTTTGAACAAGTAAAAAGGATTTGATAAAAATATATAAAGAACTTTTTTTTATCAATAAACTGCTTTCAGTACCTCTAGCAACACCCAAAAATATAAGGAATTCTTCCGTGATTAATAATTAAAATAAAAAAATCCGAAAAATCCTGTGCACCTTTTTCTAGACTAATGGTAATCTGTAGACGCAGGCCTTCGAATCTGTACATCCGTATAGGGATCCCATCGTTTTAATAATATACAATAGATCTCAGATCGCAGTTTCAAGCTTATTTCTTTCTTTCTATTACATTTTCTACTCCCAGAAAATGTTGTAAAAATATTTCTTGTAGTCGTCCATCCCCTAGTTCATTCAAAACGGCAAATATAAAATTTTTGCAAAAGGTTAAAACCTGTCACCGCTTAATATAATTGTCAAAAGACTTAAAAAATATAGAAGTGCACTATATGGAAGGAAATCATCGATTTCTATATTTTCATTGAAAATATTTCATTAATCGGCTTACTGACCTGATGACTGACTGATTTTTATAGTAATCATACAAGTAAGATTCATAAACTTCGTAATCTCATTTTTTAAATGAATGACTCGATAGTAAGTTCTCATATAATATGATTTCAATAAACCCAGAAACTTTTTCGGGTACTGAATAGTATTTTTCGAGATTCTGAACGATAGTCAAGGGAAGCTTTTGCCATAATACTTTATGAGTTCCTCTTTTCCTCCATTTTTTTTATAAAGGAGCCCGTGAAAGCACTAGCTTGGCATATAGAGCTCTGCTCCCGTTTCTTATAATATTCTCGTTAGTTTTTCCTAATATTTTGATATTTTTTTATTCGAGTGGGAGTTGAAAAAAGCATTGTCAAATTTGAAAGTCTATTGGCCGATATTTTTGCTTGTAAAACTATACTTTTGAGTTTAAAAGCTGTCAATGTTTCCTGAACCAATACGAACCACCGTGAAACAGCCTTTAGGGCTTATTTAGCATAAAAATGCATTTTACCCACAAGTCATTTGCGGAGGCTCAACTCTTATAGAAAATTCTTTTTAGGTCGTAGAAGGGTTTAAAATGTCTTCGCACCATGCAGGGATCGTCATCCTACATAACTGGTTTACCCACTAAAAATAAATTATTTTTTCCTTACCCGGGAGCCGCCTTCGCATTACTTTGGGCCAAGTTTTCCAAGATGGAGCTATATCAGTTTCTACTCTCCCTCCGAGGATGACTGCGGCTTTGTAGCCAGCATTAAGCTATTTGTGTCGCCTTCTGTTGTCCCTGCGTCCTTGTCCCTTCTTTGTTATCAGTRCGTAGTATATATTCTCTTAGTGTTATTAAATATATAAGTTGTGTTCCAAGTTATTGTCACTCATCTTTGTACATATGTATGTATGTAAATGCATCTCATCTGCGCGTCTCACTGTTGAATTGTTTGCATCTGGGCAGCGACAACACAGCACACACATTAGTTCGCCATTGCACAAACTCTAAAGTAAATTTGCATTGCTGTTACAACAGTAAGAACAAAATGTTTATGCCACATGTTTGTATATGCCACATGGACTGCTTTTATAAATTCTCTCATTTACAGCAACTTTTCACTTGAAATAAGAAAAGAAATAAAGAAGACACTAATTGTGCTTACTTACTTGCTTGCAGACCGCACACCGGATAAGAATACCTGGAAGTGGAGTCTGCACTCGACTTCGACAACACCCGTTTACTTGGAGCGGCGCAATCAGTACCGACGCAGCGAGATACGCAAATGTTCGAAATTCAAACGGAAGACCGTCTCCAATTCCACATCCTTCGATAGCTTCAATGAACTCGCTGAAAACGCAGCACGGGAAATACCAACAACTACAACAACTGAGAATGAGTTAACGGCAGCGAAAGAGGGTAAAGCGCTGGCACGCACCAACAGCATCGACGATAACATGTTGCCTGCGTTGCACAAACTCGCCGCGGTCATTAAGAATAAAGGCAAAGCCGATGAGGTAAGCGCTGTGAAGTCTGATAACGCGGATAGCGGCAGCGGCAAGGAGGTGAAGCAAAATGCCACAGAGAAGGAGGAGCTGACCAGCTGCTTAATGCGTGATCAACGACGCAGCGCATGCGCTTCGCCCAAGTCACCGCTATTCGGTTTGAAGGCGCTGAAGGAGCGCAGCAAATCGGTGCCGCGCATTAGTTTCCAGTGTGAAGATTTAGATGAGGAGAACGAGTCGCTGCACGGTAGCAATACCAATCTCGATGCGCGCAAATCCAAATCGAGCAAGTCAATTGAGGTGAAGCAATACAACCACAAGACAATACCCAAACGCATAGCCACATTGAAGAAGCAACGCACTGGCAAGACAAAGGAAACCTCCAAGTTCTACATGGATTTGAGTGAGTTCGATGATGCGCCCAAAACTGAGCTAAAGATTACCGAGTCCACAGAAAATCTGCTAGAAGAGAAACAAGGAGTTGGCAGTAGCAGCGCGCAGAAAGATGCAAAGACGGTTACGCAGAATCTCGACAGTATACAAATGCAACTGGAGAAGCAATGCGAGGAACTGTTGACAACGTTGAAGAAGAAGGACGCAGATATAATATTGGATCTGCTGAAACAGAATAAGGAGTTCGAGCGCATAGCGAAGAAGAAGCAGCAACGCAAACGCACAGAGCAGRGTGGTGGTGGTAGTGGCAGCGGCAGTGGCAGCGGTAGCGCGCCAGGCAGTCCTGAGTCGCCTGACTATCCGCTGCTCAATGAGTTGCCGCCGCGCCCGCCATCGCGCTCCCCGCCGCCACTCGAGTCTGAGTGTGAGCCAGCTGCTAACGATGCGCGCCAAGCCACGCCAGACGAAGAGGACGATGCGGAGCCAATTTATGAGTCATTGCTGCGCAATGTACACGTGCCGTATAAATTCTCGCCGGTGCTGGGGCGTTCAGTATCAACGCAGCAGTGCAGGACGCGCGAGCGCAAATCACCACCAGCGCCGCGTCCAGAATCGGATTATGTCACACTAGTTTATTCGCCGGAGGGCGCGCTGCAAAAAGTTGGCAACGAAATGCTGCCAGAACGCGCTAGCAGCGGTGAGGCGCAACTGCGTCGCGAACCAATCACAGCGCCGCCGCTTGATCAACGCGACAGCTCTGGCTCTTCGACGTCTTCCTCGACCTGCACGCTTAAACGCGACAGCCAGAATACAGTAATCAATGTTGAGTGCGCTTCAGCCAGCAATATTTCAATGATCTCCAACAATACGGGCAATTCGCACTCAGAAGCTATCTACGCGCGCCCAATACCAAAGAATCTAATGAAGCGTTTATTTAGCAACAGCGCACACATTGCCAACGGCATCGGCAGCAAATCACCGCATGAGAATATATCCTCATCATACAATTCTTTATTGCCGCGTGCGCGCAAATCCATCGATAATATGGCGCTCAGTTTTGGACGTTCGAATAAACCGCCCGAGCGACGCGTCTCCGACGTAACCGAAATGTGCCGTCAAAGCATACTGCACCGGCAGGGCAGTGAAGCGGTTGGCGAGCGCATGGCACACGTGGACTACGCCGATCCGCGTACACTTTTCACTGTCAACGTCAACACCAGCTCCGATGCTTCGCTGCAACGCGATTCCGTCTTCTCGCTCACCTCATCCAATGATAGCGTTTGCGATCAGAAGCGCGCCGCGAGCACAACGCTAAGCAGCGATGCCAGCAACTCTGATTTCGTATATGAAGAGAACGTCGAGGCTTGCCTGGAGAATGACTTCCGTGACTCGGCCATTTATAGTGATGATAATGATAAGCGCGCAGACTATGAGTCCAGCGACGGCATTAAACGTCCCAGCAGTCCACCACCGCCGCCGCCACCAGCGCGCAATCGCAACAACCCCGAGGTGCCACCAAAGCCAACTGGCATACCGCGCGTCAACATCAGTAAGGTGGCGTCGCCGCGCAAGGAATTGCCAGCGCCATCACCCTTAATTGGCGCCGAGGCGCAGTGCTTTGCGGGTAAAGCAGCGCATGTTGTCATCTGCCCGCCACACTTGAGCGCGGCGGCATCGCGCAGTTGGGTGCTGCAGCAGATCGATAATTTTAATAAGTAAGGCGGCGCGGCTTGATTAACGCGCTATATTTAGATTTTGTAGACTTGTTCGCTTTGTTTGCCATAAATAGTTGAACGACAGATTCTTAGTGTTTACGCGCATGCACATATTTCACATACATACATMATGATAGCACTTACATTTTTCCATTCAAAAATATGTCTACTTAAAATATTAAAAAACAAAATTATATTTAATAACAGAAAAGAATATTTTTACTTTGTTGACTGTTGAACGCCAATATGCTTACAGTATATTTCTAATGCTTACTTAATTATTATATATTAAAAAATATATTTTTACGAAGATTATATTTTACATATTTACACTCGCTCGCATTTGTACATTTTGTATATTAAGTTATTTTAATGCATACATTTAAGTATCTTATTTAACTTTAAGCAGCGGCTTTGCGACGTCTATTGTGCATTAATATTCGGTGGAACATAGATATATGTTTATATATTTATAACATTTCAGATTTTTTTGATTTTTATATTTCGTGTTTTTATGAAACACATTATTTTTCTGTGCTTTTTAGTGAAAAAAAAATTAAAATTAAAACAGAAAAGAAAAAAACAATTAATTAAAATCGAAAAGAAGGCGAAAAAAAAATTAAAACAAAAATTATATAAAAATAACAAAAAAAAAAAAAACACATAAATATGAATAGAATATATAAAATATCGAAATCGACCGCTTCTCGGTAGTCTGTCTGCCCACATTTAATGCAATGTTAGCGAAAAAATGTTGGCGCGCACATTTTTACAGTATATACACGTATATATGAACTACTCAATTTATTATATGATATTTAATATGTAATACGAAATGTCGATTATACTGAAGTTATGCATTTTTAAGAAGTTTTGTAATTCCGATGAAACTTAAATATTTATAAACTTATTTAGCGAATTGTTTAAATTGTGTGTTTTAATATTATTTGTAAAGAAAACTAATTGAAGTGAACATACCATATTTGAAGCTATAGACAAATGCATGCAAACGAAACATGTTTACATAAACAGTCAAAAAAATAACTACATAATTAAATAAGAAATAAATTATAAAAAAAATATCAAAAAAATATAAAAAAAAA